GGGGAGGGGAAGGGAAAAAGAAAATGCTTAAATAGGGATACAAGTTGACCCATTGTAACAATAAGATGTACAAGACACTATGTTGAAAAAGAACTTTACAACGTTGTGGGGAGGGTGTGTGTGGGCGGGGGGGGGGAATAGTTATGGAGGTGAGAGGGAAGGGATGGTAAGGGGAAACAAGAGGAGGCAACAATGCTTGATAAGAAATGTACTCGTTACCTTGCTCATGTAACTGTAACCCTTCTGTATAGTATTTTTACAATAAAAAAGTACCAAAATATTTAAAAATTAAAAAAAAATACAAATCAAAACAACACTGAGATTCCACCTCACCCCAGTTAGAATGGCTATAAAAAAAAATCTAATAATGACAGATGTCGGAGGGGATATAGCCAAAATGGAGCCCTACATTGTTGGTGGGAGTATAAACTTGTTCAGCCACTCTGGAAAGCAGTATGGAGGTTCCTCAAAAGACTACCCATAGAGCTCCCCTATGACCCAACAATCCCACTTCTGGGCATTTACCTAAATGACCACAAACAAGGTCATATTAAAGCTACCGGCACAGCTATGTTTACTGCAGCATTATTCACCATGGCTAAAATATGGAACCAACCCAGATGCCCCTCAGTAGATGAGATGATCAAGAAAATGTGGTATAAATATACAATGGAATTCTATGTCTCCATTAGAAAGAATGATATTGCCCCATTTGTTAGGAAATGTAAAGCCTTGGAAAAAATCATATTAAGTGAAGTTACCCAGTCCCAAAGAAATTTAGGTCCCATGATTTCCCTTATTTGCAATAATTAGTATACATATAGAATAATCTTATCAGATGAGCTGAAAAGCTCAAATGACCATATAAGATGATGCTAAGTGAAATGAACCCCAAGATATGGACACAAGAGGTCTGTCTTTATTGTTATTGTTTTAAGTGTACCATCTGATTTTTATTTTTTTTGTTTTTTATTTTTTCCTTTGTATGTTCTTTCCTCTGTGTCATAGCCCCTGTTGTCACTGTACTTGATTTTGGCACCCTGCATCTTGTATATATGTTGTCTAATCTGGGGAGGGGAAAGGGAATAACAAAATTCTGAAACAAGGACACAGGATGACCTATTACAACAAGGATACCCATAGGACATGGACTTTACAACGTTACAGGGGGGTGATGGAGGGATGGAGGAGTGTAGGAGGCAGGGGAGTGAAGGGAAACAACAAAGAAGGGAAGGGGTAACAATGATCGACAAGTAATGTACTCATTGCCTTACTCATGTAACTGTAACCCGTGTACAGCATCTTAACAATAAAATAAAATAAAATAAAGGTACTCATTACCTTACATATGTAACTATAACCTCTCTGTACATCACCTCGATAGTAAAAGTAGATTTTAAAAAAATGTTAACATGCTTAGTTATAAGGGAAATGCAAATGAAAACCACATCAACATTCCAACTCACCTTAGTCTGAATGGCAATCATCAAGAAAACAAACATCAACACAAGCTGTCAAAGATCCTTCCCCTAACTCCACCCCCACTTTCTGGCAATGTAAACTAGTGCAACCACTATGGATATCAGTTTGCAGGTTTCTCAAAAGACTAAAATTAAACACTTATGACCTTCTATACAACTCTTCGGCAATACCCAGTGGATTCTAAATCAATATACATGACAGATATTGCAGCTTTGTTCACAATAGCCAAACAGTAGCATCAGCCAAGGTTCTCAACAACTAATGAATGAATAAAAAAATAAAAACCCAACATAGTACATATATAACATGGAATACTACTCAGACAAAGTGAAACTATATCATTCATAGTTAAGTAGATAAAGCCACTCAAAAGGCTAAATATAGCATGTTTTCACTCATTTGTAGAATCTAGACTTCAAATACATGCATATACATACATATACAAGTATATAGTTATATATACATATATACGTTCATATAGAGAGAACTTGACTGTGACTGTGGGACTTTGGGGGGGGCATAGCTGAGGGAGAGGAGGAGAATGATGAACAGGGAATCATATTGAAAGATCAGTGTCTGGGGCTAGGAAGGTGGCTCAGTGGTAGAGTGCTTGCCTTGCATGCCTGAGGCCCTGGGTTCGATTCCTCAGCACCACATAAGCAAAAAGAAAAAAGCCGGAAGTGGCACTGTGGCTCAAGTGGTTGAGCGCTGGCCTTGAGCTGAAGAGCTGAGAGACAGTGCCCAGGCCCAGAGTTCAGGCCCCACCACTGGACCCCCCACCAAAAAAAAAAGATCAGTGTCTTCCAAAAAGTAGGCATAAGAAATCTCACTGAAAGCTGTTAAACAAATAAGGCTAAGGCCAGGTGCTGGTGGCTCACATCTGTAATCCTAGGTACTAAGAAGACTAAGATCTGAGGATTGTGGTTTGAAGCCAGCCCAGGCAGGAAAGTCCATGAGACTCTTATTTCCAATTAACCACCAGAGAATAGGAAGTGGTGCTGTGGCTCAAAGTGGTAGAGATCTAGCCTTGAGCAAACGAGCTCAGGGACAGTACCCAGGCCCTGAGTTCAAGCTTCATGACGGGAAAAAAATAAAAAAAAAAAAATAGAATAGGGGCTGGGAGAGGAAGTAAAAAAGAGCATCAGAGGAAGATTTTTCTGGTTAAAATATAATAAAAGCACAGGTGAAATACTTTGTGAAACCCCTTGCTATACAATTAATATACACTCGGGCTGGGAAGGTGGCTCAGTGGTAGAGCCCTTGCCTTGCAAGCAAGCCTGAGGCCCTGGGTTCGATTCCTCAGCACCACATAAGCAAAAAGAAAAAGCCAGAAGTGGCGCTGTGGCTCAAGTGGTACAGCGCTAGCCTTGAGCTGAAGAGCTGAGGGACAGCACCCAGGCCGAGTTCAAGCCCCACGACCGGACCCCAAAAAAAAAATTAATATGCACTAAAGAAGTGAATGGAAGCAGAGTAAAGTTACATAGGCTCTGTTGGGAGCAGGTTATCAGCGAGAGGAACGAGTATAAATGGAGAGGAAGAATGAGGGTAAACATAGTCAAAATACTTTATATCACATATGAAAATAAAATAATGAAACCAGAAGGAAGAAGGGAAGAGCGGAGAGTAAGAGTGGGTGTGGTTGATAAACTATATTGTATTAATGTATGGAAATGTTATAATGAAACTTCCCTTGTGCAACCAATTTATGATAATAAAGCCCTGTTTTAGAAAGTGTTAAGGACAGGGGGCACTGGTGGGTTATACCTGTAATCCTAGTTACCTAGGAGGCTGAGATCTGAAGAGAGCCAAACCCGACAGGAAAGTCCTAGTGAGACCCTCAATTTTAATCAACCATGCAAAAACCAGTAGCGCTGTGGCTCAAAGTGGTAAAGTGCAATAAAGAGCTCAGGGACAGTGCCCAGACCGTGACTTCAAGCTCCATGACTGACAAAAAAAAAAAAAAAAAGGTAAGAAAAAGTAGTAATGATAGAACCTAATCTCTATTAAATATTTTTATGTTCCTAATACTTTTCTAATTTTCCCCCTTGTAAGAACCTACTTAATTTTTACAACAAACTTCTTAGGAAAATAGTATCACTGTTCTCATTTAACAAATAAAAAAGAAACTGAGGCACAGAAAAATGAAGTAATTAGCCTTACAGCACAACAGCAATGGTGGTGGAACCCAGGGAGCTACTCCAGAGTTTATGATCTTACTCTGCACGCCATAAAATTCCACAGATAAGACTGTGTAGAAACAATAAATGTAATACATTTAGAACTTAACATCAAGACACATATGGGAGACTATCCTGGAAATTTAAGGATCAATACTGTGGTCGAGGGATGGTGAAAAAAGACCATTTGAGGGAAAAATGAGGACCTTTAAGACAAGGGTCCTGAAGTGACCCAATTTCTAATCCTCTAAAGCAAGTATTTTAATCTTTCCTAATCTCAAGTTTTCTTTTTATTATGTAAGAACTGATATAAGGATTAAGTTGTCAGAATTCTTAACAAAAAAACCAGTAATATCTAGCAATTTCTAGACAGGTGGACTGGGGAAATCTTAGAGATAAGAATCTCCTAAGACTAACAGAAAAAGGTAAAACATACTTGTGAAAATGGGGAGAAAAATCCAAAGAATACACTGGTTCTCCCTTCTACCAGAAGTATCTAAATAATTCGTTTCACTATTTATAATCATTGCTAATCAGCAATGTGGACCTCTATAATACAACATTGGAGGACTTCAAAATGATATGGAATTTCACACCTCCCCTTCAAACACACAGCCCTCAAGACTCATGCCAGGAGGCTTTCCACAGGGCAAGAGTGAGACTTCAGCCACATCTTTAGAGGCACTAGGAGAGTGCTTCCAAGTCTTAATGTATTTTTTCCAGAAGTGATCTGACAGAAACATTCATCTATTCAACCCACCTGCCCACTGTATATTAAAAGCCTACAATACTTCAGGTATTCACAATAAAAATATAGGATGGTCTCCTCTGATCAAGGCTCTCTTCAGTCATACTTGTCCCAATTCAAGACAGATACCTACAACATCTGAGGAGTATGATAATCAACCTATAAGCTCACTCCAGAACTCATCACCAAGATGTCCACCTCCACCTTCCGTCTATGATTTCCAAAATTAGCTTTCCTTTGAATACTGATTTCTGAAGACTTCTGAATATGAAGATTAGGTTAAAGGAAACTAGTCTTAATAAATATTAGGTCTTCTGTTAAGACTAAGGTATGGCTTTCTGTTAATTCAGTACTTCAAGATACACTAATTTTAATAAGTTAGACCAAGATTACCCAGTCACTGTAGCATGGGTCCTTTTAAAACAAAGCTTTCATAAAAGAAACAATGAGTAGTAATGAGATAAGAAAAGAAACAAAATCAAATCCTGAGGAGCAGAAATATCCCCCATAATTCTTCTCCTCTTACAGATCATCACTCTAGCCAAAGATCAAATCTGATTTGATCAATATATCAAAATGTAAAAGACACTTACTCAGGGCTGTCTGTATATCCTTTTCCCCATTTTTTACTTCAGTCAAAAATCCTTTTAAAAATTTGAGACCTCTAAAACAAAAACAAGGAAAAAATATTTTAAAAGTTCACTTATATGAGGCACTAGAAATGACAGGCACTATATTCTGTTTCAGTAATATCTTGGGTGGGTATAGCAGTAAACAGTCAAGACCATGAGGTGATCTTTTTGAAGTTTCTTCTCTGTCATTTCACTTAGGATGCTCTGACCCTTTCCGTCATCCCACATGACATATCCAAAGCAATGGTTTTCAAAATTTGGTTCCAAACTGGTGACTTCAGCATTGCTTGGGTATTTATTAGAAATAAAATTCTGGGGCCCGCTTTGTACCTAGGACTAGAAACCATGATTCCATATCCAGTGTTTTTATAATAAGCCTACTAAGAGCCACTAAATATAAGAATCACTAATTTAAGAAAAAAAAGTTTTCTTTCTGTCATTTATGATTCCTATTATATATGTAAACATACATACATGTATGTTTACCTATATATTTATTATATATACATATATGTATATAAACAAAATATGTGTACATTATAATAAATATCTACAATATATGTATGCACGTATACATATGTATGTATATATAAATATATCCATATATAAGCATATGTGCACATATAAAATTGGCACATATCCTATATAATATATAAAATATATTTTATATATAGATAATACACTTGTCATTTATGATTCCTATTATAAAGATTAATATATATGCATGTATATATGTATGTGTGTACACACACACAATAGGAGCACTATCAATATTTATTACCATCAAGAGGGATGAAAAAAGATCTTGCTCTTTTGTTTTAGAAAACACTACACAATTCGGTTAGACGCTTGGTCAGAAACTGTCCTTTGTAGGACAATGTTTTTGCTGGTAACATTTCCACTGCACTGATTTTAATTGCAGCCCCACCCAACTGCCTCACCTCTTCAGCCACAAGAGGGCTTCAGTAGCGGAGTTCCTAACCTGAGCTACATCAGCTTCTACCTCATGCAGCACTATCTTCTGGAGGGTAGTAAACTCTTCCTTGTTCGTTATATACTTCTGATTTACTTTCTGGAGGAAAAATAGAAAACAATCTAAGTTCAAAAATGTAAAAGTTACCAAGGATCTGAATATAGTATTGAGACATAAATCTGAGCAGGCCTGTAAGACTATTTGAATATTTTGTTTGAGAATTCTGACGCTTACTCGAAGTCAACAGTCACAAGGCTTTGTTTTGGGAAGTATTGTGGTTGGAACCCAGGGCCTTGCCCTTGGTACTAGTTGAGTCTACCCCATCATTTTTTTTGTTTCAATTTATTGTTTAGATGGAGTCTCACACTTTTGCATATACTAGCCTCACAATGTCTAGAAGAGATAGGAGGCTACTTCTGCTTCCTAATATTGCTGGGATTAAAGGCCTGCATCATCACACATGGCTAGTCTTTTAAAGTGTCCCAAATTTTTTTGCCTAGACTTGCCTTGTTGCTCCTCCAATCTCTGTCTTCCACATAGCTGAAATTATAGGTATATGCTACCATGCCCAGCCTAGTTCTAGGTTTTTAAAGTATTGTTATTTAGTATTTTTCCTGCCTTGGAGCAGTTCTCACAGTTGATACCACTCATTTTGAGATAAAACTTAACCATCATTTGTTTGAATGGAATTCCATACAACGATTCCCTCAAAATACAGAGTAAGAAGAGCTATGGCTACAGAAATCCCTTACACTGAAATCTCATCATATATACGCAAACACACACACACAAACACACACACACATGCCTTTTGTGTTTTTATTAATAATACATTCTATTGGAGACCAATTTGGGGAAACTTATTTTTTGTACAATAGTCCATAGTATGATACACACACACAAAATCATCACTTGTCCTATTTTCTCTAAACAATGCTTTGTATAGTTTTGTCTTATTAGAAATAAGCTTAAAATTCTTAAAGCTTTGGTGATATTTTTAAGTACCTTATTCTATTTGCCAATTACTTATTCACAGTATATACAAAGATTGATTTCTTCATGCTGAGTTGTTCTTTATAGACATGCATAATTTTATAAAATGATTTTTCTATAGGTATTGAAATCAAGATAAAGATGACAGATATTTAATGGGTACTGTATTCTCAAGAAGGCAACATTCAATCTACCTTTTTAAAAGAAATATAAACTTTAAAAGATAGAAATAATATATGCAGTACTCTCATTTTACTGGGAAGAGAATCCAGAGAAATTTGATGAGCTGCTGATAGCCTCACAGCTGCACATGGAAGTTGGGTCTTTTGAGTTCCAAGCCATTGATAACTAAGCTATTTATATCAACATACTTTTTGGAAAACTGTAACTGGTCATTGTCTAAAACTAACTAGTACAGAATCAGTGCTAATACATGCATGAGTCTCTAAATGATACACCAAAAGGAAATCCTGTTGTCATTCTTTAAATTGTATTTTGTTTTAAGTAGTTGGACAAAGGGGTCTGGTTTCATTTTTAAATGTACTTTTCACCTCCATTCCCAAGCTTGCTTACCTCTATCATAAAATAAAAAGATTTCGTTACTTCCACAATGATCAATTAGAACATGAGAAAGGTACTAGCTTGCTCTCTGTCTCTCCCCCTCCTTCTCTCCCTCCCTCCCTCCCTCCCTCTTTCTCTCTTCTCTTCTCTCCTCTCTCTCAGGCTAGGCAAGCATTTGACTGCTGAGCCGTACCTTCAGGCCCTTTTATGCAGTATTTAGAAACAGGATCTTGGTGTTTTCGTGTTTTTTTTTTTTTTTTTGGCCACGTCTGGACCAAAAGTCTCCTATTTTACACTTCTTACTACATATAAGATGACAGGTGCATGTTGAGGAGGGGTCTCTAAAACATTTTTATAATGCCAGTTTTATTTTTTACTTTTTCCCTATCAAACAAAAAGTACTGAAATGTTTTCTTTTGTTTAAAAGTTGATTAAGACGAGCCAGTATACTCACCTTAATATTTCCAACAAGATCCATTTTTACAGGAGCAAACACTGTAGGGCCAAGTTTGTCTAAAAGGATCGAAAACATTTTGAAAAAGCAATTAGATGCAAGTGGAAATTGGTTTGGTTTGGTTGCCTGTACTGGGGCTTAAACTCAGGGCCTTGTACTCCTTTGTTTTTGTAACTCAAGGCTAATGCTATATCACTTAAGCCACACTTCTAGTTCTCATTTTTTTCTGTTAATTGGAGAGGAGAGAGGAGAGACTCTCAGATTTGTCTTGCCCCACTGGCTTTAAACTGTGACCCTTAGAGCTTAGCAACCTGGATTACTAGGATTGCTGGCTTGGGGCACTGTCTGGTATGGAGACTATATATACATATAATGAAACAGGTTTTTGCTGTAATAAGTTACCTTTTTTCCACAACAACTTTAATTTTTTCTTGTAAATTACTTTCTAAACATATGCTTCAAAAGTTTGACACAACACCTTTTCCTATTATATACTACATCTGGTTTATAAAAATGAGTCTCTTTTTAGACTCTTAAAAATCATTTATGCAGGGCTGGGAAGGTGGCTCAGTGGTAGAACGCTTGCCTTGCATGCATGAGGCCCTGGGTTCGATTCCTCAGCACCACATAAGCAGGAAAAAAAAATCATTTATGCAATTCTTAGGCCCTTTGCTTATCTGGATAAATTTAAGCTTTTTAACTTCTATTAGAAAGACTTGGTTGCTACCAGCCACATAGGATGAAATCCTAGTCACTCAGGAGATTAAGACCTAGAAGATATTGTTTCAAAGCCAGTGCTGGCAGAAAAGTTTGTGAGGCTCCATTCAAATGAATCAGCAAAACGCTAGACCAGAGGTGCAGTTCAACTGGTACTGCATGAGTTCTGAACAAAAAAAACATTGCAAGAGCAAGAGACTCTGAGTACAAGCCCCTGTGTACACACACACACACACACACACACACACACACACACACACACACCTTTTTTAAGTTATGTGTTGTTATTAATAATACATTCTACTGGAGACCAATTTGGGGAAACTGATTTCTTGTTCAATAGTCCATAGTATGATACTTACACACAAAATCATTACTTGTTGTCAAATTTTCTCTAAACAATGTTTTTTTTATAGTTTTGTCTTGTTAGAAATAAGCTTTAAAATTTTAAGTCTTTTTTTAGTCTTTTTCTTATTATCAAGGTGATGTATAGAGGGGTTACAGTTACATAAGTAAGGTAATAAGTACACTTCTTGTCAAACTTGTTCTCCTTCCCTCATTTTTAAAATTTTAAGGCTTTTGGGGCTATTTGTTGTTGGTGGTGGTGGTGACCATGGGGCTTGGACTCTGGGCTTGGGTGCTATCCCTGAGCCACAGTGCCACTTACAGTTTTCTGGTGGTTAACTGGAGATAAGAGTCTCACAGATTTCCCTGCCCAGGCTGGCTTTGACTGTAATCCTCAGATCTCAGCCTCCTGAGTAGCTAGGATTACAGGTGCAAGCCACTGGTGCCCAGCTTTTTGGTGCTTTTTGTTGTTGTTGTTGGGCATGAGGCTTCAACTCAGGGGCTGGGCATTGTCCCTGAGCTCTTCAGCTCAAGGCTAGCATTCTACCACTTGAGCCACAGCACCACTTCCAGTTTTCTGGTGGTTAACCGGAGATAAGAGTCTCACACACATTGCTGCCTGGGCTAGCTTTGAATGGTGATCCTCAGATCTCAGTCTCCTGAGTAGCTAGGATTATAGGTATGAGCCACTGGTACCTGGCTTTTGGTGCTGCTTTTTAAAGTACCTTATTCTATTTGCCAATTACTTATCCACAGTATATACAAAGATTGATTACTTCATGTTCACAGTTGTTTTTTATAGTCATGAATAGTTTTATAAAATGATTTTTCTATAGGTATTGAAATCAAGGTATCGTTTCTATCATTTATTAAAACAGTGAACTCCATAGCTGGGACTCGCTATTTATTTACACCATCTTGCTATTTAGTTTCCTATTGGTTCTTTGTTTCTTTTTTGTGACTTTTGATCAATGAATAGACCTTTTTTCTTTTTTTTTTTGTTGGTTGTGGGGCTTGAACTCTGGGCTTGGGCCCTGTCCGTGCACTCCTCACCTCAAGGCGAGCGCTCTACTGTTTGAGCCAGAGTACACTTCCAGTTTTCTGATGGGTTATTAGAGATAGGAGTCTCAAGGACTTTCTTACTAGGCTGGCTCTGAACCCTGATCCTCAGCTCTCACCTTTTTTTTTTTTAACATATTATTTATCCTATTTTGGCTTTTTAAAAAGTCAAATGTGTTTTGCCTTGCTTTCTTTTATGTCAATCAAGTATTTTTTAGAATTCTATTATGTTTTTCTCTTTTGGTTTTTAGCTATTTAAGAAGGGTCATTTTCAATTTGCCTTGTAAAGGTTAAAATGTGTTTGTGACTTTAACTAAGTATCACTATTCCACAATACTGTGAAATATGTGAAAGTTATGTAATCACCTAACTCCAATTTAAAAAAAAAGGAAAGAAAAGTGAGAGAAGGGATGGGTTAGGAGTGATGGGTGACAATGTTGTCAGACACCTTGCATTCATGTACTGTTTTGTAGAATGGGAACTTCTTTGTACAACTACTTAAAGATAATAATAATTAAAAATGTTAAAAAAGAGGACTTATGTCAATTTTTTTTTGGGTCCAGTTGTGGGCCTGAACTCTGGGCCTGGGCGCTGTCCCTCAGCTCTTCACCTCAAGGCTAGCGCTCTACCACTTGAGCCACAGCGCCACTTGCGGCTTTTTTTTTCTGCTTATGTGATGCTGAGGAATCAAACCCAGGGCCTCATGCATGCAAGGCAAGCACTCTACCACTGAGCCACCTTCCCAGCCCAATTTTTTATAGTGTTATTTTATATTTTATAAGATTGTTTTACTTCTAAAATAAAATTGAAAGTTCTTATGAGTGAAAAAAAAAAGAAAAATAGAAGGGTCATTTCATTGTACGCCTAATTTGGGATCTTTCTTCTTCTAAGTAACTGTAATGGTACAAATTCTAAAAAGTAATAAATGCAAGGCAACTGTGGCAATCTTACCTAATACTGGAACCACAGCATAACATGATGCCAAGAATGCTTCTGTAGGAATGCCACTATCTTCCAGAAGTTCAATGTCACTAAAGCTAAGTAATGGGTGATATGGAAGAGGTAAGATTGAAAACAGAACAAATTGTGCAGTTCAGAGATAGTCATCAAAACAGCTATTGTTCTATAGGGAAAAACCACTTAACCTGATTACTCAGATGTGCCCTAGGGATGGTTTCAGTGCTAGAGAAGTCTATTAACATACTTTTCCAAAAAACAATATACCAGAATAAGCTCGTTTGTTTACAGAATAAACCTGAATAATTCAATTCCTTTTCATCCACTATTCAGTATCAGCATTGCTATTTACCACGTATACCAAGAATATATCATTCTCCATTCTCTTAGAATATACTATCATCTGAAAGGATTATTATGACTAATTTTCCAGAAGGAAAACATTTATCAAATTGTTAGTGATTTAGCGGGTCTGGCATACCTTGTGTTCATAGTACTAAAGAAAGTTGGGATAACTTCTTTGCCATCTTCCCAGAGGGATTCTGGCAAAAAACTTGAGTCTGATCCAGTCTGTGCCAAGTCACTGTCATGATTGCACAGGTTTTCCTCTTCATTGCTCTTCATTATGTTACCTTGTACTGCAAAGTAGAAAATAATGATGACAAATCTATTATACATTACAAAAATTAATACAATGTCATTGGTGAAAAGTCCTACAGAACACACAAAATTCTATGAACTAGATGGCACATACATATATATCTACAAACATATATATATATAAATATATATACAAAATGGGCTTAATTCATATATTTGTATATGCACTTTCACTGTACAATAAATACAGCACCATTATTTCATTATCATTCATTGCATTCACTATTCTTCAACACATGATTTCAATGATTGTAATAATACATCATACCAATATGGAACACATTTAGGTACCTTCCAAAATGCTACTATTATAGTCAATCCTCATTATGAACATGTTCCATATTTGTGAGTTTGCCTACTTGCTAACATTTATTCTTAATCCCAAAGTCAATGCTTGCATTTTTTCCAGGTGTTTGTGGACATGTACAGAGTGCTGAAAATCTTCTCTCCTGATGCATACATTCTTAGCTGAGGGGGAATAAACTGATGCTCTGCCTTCTTATTTTAGGACTCATATCATAAACAAATGTCCTTACTTAGGGCCACATTTTCTGCCCATTTAGTGTTGATTTTATTATTTAAAAGGGTCCTAAGTATTGTGTTGTTCAATGCACATAAGGACAGGAAGGCTGTAATATGACTCATAGACAAAATACATGTTTTAGGTTAGTTTCATTGAGGCATGAATTATATAGTACTGTTGGCTACATGGTCACTGTTAATGCATCAGCTGTATATAAATCTACATCTATATATACACATACATATAAACATTACATTCTATTAAGTACAAACATATTCTATACAACCTAATGTATTAATGAAAAATAAAACATATAAAACAAGGTTATGTATTGATTATTTGATAAAAATATGACCAATGCTGATCATGGTGGCTTACATCAGTGATCCCAGGTATTCAAGAAGTAGTAAGATCATAGTGCAAAACCAGCCCAAACAAAAAACATTACATCCTATCTGAAAAACAGTCTAAAGTTAAGGAAGAACAATGAAAAGGATGACACTGATCAGGATGCACTGTATTCATAACCTGCCTTCTGAATTGAAACTCCTTTATACAACTGCTTAATAAAATAATAATAATAAAAGTAACCTAAAAGCCGGGCGCCGGTAGCTCAGGCCTGTAATCCTAGCTACTCAGGAGGCTGAGATATGAGGATATCAGTTCAAAGCCAGCCCAGGCAGGAAAAGTCTGTGAGACTCTTATCTCCAATAAATCACTCAGAAAACCGGAAGTGGCATTGTGGCTCAAGTGGTAGAGTGCTTAACTTGAGCTGAAGAGCTGAGGGAATGAGCCTAGGCCCAGAGTTCAAACCCCACGGCCAACCAAAAAGAGAAAAAAAAGAAAAGTAACCTAAAGTAAAAAGGGATGGGACATGGCTTAAGTGGTAGAGCACTTGCCTAGAAAGAGTAAGGCCCTGAATTCAAATCCTAGTATTGCCACTCCTTACTTAAAAAAAAAATTATTGCAGCCAAATGTTTGCAGCATGAAAATTCTGGATTTCATATCAATCAATAGCAGTATTTGCTAATTCAGTATTTTGAGTGACTTTATAAAATGTAACTACCAAAAGTAATGAAAATTTATTACAGTGTCCCATAAGGAACATACCTATCCACAGATCTTTGTTTACAATCTGATTATTCCCTGAAGAAATACTCCTAGAGATCAAATATATTTACTCAATATTGCTATTGAGTCAGATATAGGACAGTGTTTTGAAAGAAATTCTCTTGTATTTACTCGAGACTTTAATGTGTGTTACTTTTCATAAGTTAAAGGCTAAGATTTTCAAAAGGTTAATACTATATTTCTTAGCTGACTAACCAGGAAAAATTGAGTTTCTTATTTCAGGACAGATGAAAACAATTTTAATTTTAGTAATCATTAATAACAACTAAAACTCTATCCAATACAATTACTTTTGAGTCACTTGAAGAAAGGGTTTTTATGGTTAGTGTCAATGGAACAAATTTACAAGTCAAACTACAGATTGTGTTTTGTTTGTTTTGTCAATTGCAAGGCTTGAACTCTGGTCCTGGGCACTGTCCCTAAGCTCTTTTGCTCAAGGATAGTGTACTACCAGTTTGAGCCACAGTGCCACTTCAGGTTTTCTACCAGTTAATTGGAGATAAGAATCTCCTAGGCTTTGCAGCCTGGGCTGGCTTTGAACTGCAATCCTCAGATCCTTTTTGAGATCCAGCAAAAAGAGTCAGTCAAGTATGTACACTCCTCTAAATCTGTTTACTGAAGACCATAAACATAACAGCCAAGATCATTCATTCCCTTCTCACCTCATCAGATGGGATGACAGAATAATGTGACTCCACCAATCTGTCTTACCAAGTCTTTAGGCTCCTTAGGAGACACCTAACATGCATCTCAGGCTCGTATCTATCAAGTGTTCTAGAATGAGAATGAATCAAATGCCTGAGTTTTCTATTGTTCAGTGGTTTGCTTTAGACTTTATATCTTTTTACCTGTTAAATTATCCTCTGTATTTTCTTTGCTTGATAGGCTGCTGTCTATCTCTGCAGATTTCAAATACAAGGGACTTTCATTTTTCATTAGGGTTTCTTCATCACCATTTATCTCCATATTTAAAGATCCATTTCCACAACTGTTCAACTCCATTTGCCTAAAATTTTTTTAAAGAAAAAAAAATCAGTAAGGGCAGTGATGGATCTTAGATGTTATTCTGATTGACAGGGAAAGGGCTTATAGTCATCAAATCCTTTTAACATTGATTACAAAACAGAATTGTTAATCCCATGCAAAACCTCTCAGTCTCTTATAGACCAGGGCAAGTAGGTGTTTGCCTACTGAGAAAACAGGACACTTGTGCATTTCTAAAATAAAAGAGCCATTAATGGCTGTTCCTATACTCTTCTTTGAGGACCCATCTCCCTGTTCCCTGCCAGCACCAGGAAATAGTAATTGACAGCTTTTTGGTTTTCAATTAGCTTTTTCCAGGTGCCACATTTAACACTTAATTGTTTGTCTTACCTCAACTTCTTCCTGGAAGGCTTTATCTGAACACTAGCACTTATACCTGTATGCTTAGCAATTAACTCCCCAGAAGCCAAATGCTGTGGTCAGCAAAGTAGTCCTGTAGCTTAAATGAAAAATCCCCAGAGGACTACAACACATTCTGAATGACCCGATATCAGGAAAAAAACTATTTAACATTCAGGTGAAATAGCTTATTCTATTTGTTAATGGGGCAATCATAACTCATATTATGGTGGTTCTACTCGTAGGTGGTTCTACCTACCTAGATTAGAACAAAAATATTTTCTTCTAATATAAATAAGGGGTGACACAAGGAAAAGCATTTGTTACTTTCTAAAAAAAAGTATTTAGCCAAGCAATTAAAAATGCTGGTATATCTGGAGGCAATAAGTTAAAAAAAAAGCATTTATAAAAAAAGACTAGAAACAACCAAACTGGGAATAATAAAGAAGAAACAATAGTATTTAAAAGGATGAACTATTAAATTAATACAGAATCATAAAGATCTGTACTACATGGACAGCCCACACAACATAAGGTAAAAAGACCCTGATGACTATGTAAATTGGTACTTTTTTTTTCCCCAGCATTGGGGACTGCACTGGAAACCTTATAAATGCTAAGCAAGTGCCCTACAACTAAGCTACACCCCAGACCAGTGTGTATGATTTTTTAATTGAAAAAGCACTTAACAGAAATGGAGGTAATTTATATTTTATATTATTTTTTTCAGCTTATAAAGCTTCCTGAAATTTTTATCTTTAAACAAAAGAGTAGTTATATTCTCTTTCCTGGATAAAAGTACACTCAATATTCAACTCTTCTATAACACTTCAGTAACACTAAAGAGATTAAGTTATTGGACATAATGGGTGAGATCCATACCTCATGGCAAATATCTGCATTTTCCCATTACTGTTGAATCCAAGGAGTGTTTTGCTTCAACCTCAACCAAAATGGTTTCCTTCTGGTATTATCTTAAATCATGGGGCAAGCCACTAATTGATTATATATATATATTATTCCTTTTTCAAACAAGGAATAAACATACCTTTTTTTCTAATTTATAGAAAGGAAAAAGATGTGACTGTACCTTTCCAATGAATTATGAACTGGAACAACAGGTTGTTTTATCTTTAAAAGAAGCAAAGAAAGTAAATTATACACATTAAAGTTACAATAGAGCATTATTTAGAAACTTATCACATAAGAAACTGGTAAACAGCCATAACATACACTGCTCTACTGAACAGAAACCATTTTACACCTTGTCAAATACAATCATTGATTCCAACTTCCCCTCTGACTAAATCAAATAAGCATACACAAATTGCGTGTGTGTGTGTGTGTGTGTGTGTGTGTGTGTGTGTGTGTGTGTGTGTGTGTGTGTATGGAGAGAGGGAAAGAGAAGGTGGCCTTTTTTCAAAGACTTAATTATCATAGCCAAATTCCTGACGGTTTACTTTCTTTGAAATTTAAATTAAGTGTTAACTGTTAGTAAACAGCAAATTATGGTACACTATTATGTTAAATATGAGAGTGTAACACTACAGAGAAATCCTTTCCTTCAGATAACTTTGATAAAGAGTGGGGCTAGCATAGGAGTTAGTCCTTTCAAAAAGTATTAGGTAACAAAAATACATCAAGCTTTTCAACTTTTCATAAGACACTTTTGCAGCTAAACTGAGCTAGCCTCTTACCTTGCTGGATTTGACCACAGCCAGCTGTGGTGATGCTGGAGGGGTCCGGTAAAGCAGCTCCGAGGTAAAAGCTGCATTTGCAATCTGCATGCATTCTTCCAAGGTCTTTAGAAAAGTATTGCAAGTTGATTTGAGTAGAGTTCCCACATCAATTCCTTCCTACAAAACAACCAGTGAAGATTCTTTTGTCTTGCCAAAAAAAAAAAGAAAAAAAGAGAAAGAAAGAAAAAGAAAAAGCCCAACTGTGTTATGTCCTTAGAGATTTTTTTTTAACAATAATAATGTTCTCTCCTTTTTGCTAGTTAAATACATACATCAGAATGATGGGAGGGGTAGTATCAATCAAGATGCATTGTACTTATGAACTGATTAGTTTATACAACTACTTAAAGACAATAAAAATGAATTTTTTTCTACAAGACCATACCTAAAGATATTACTGGGGGAAAAAAGTAAAATTATCTATTTACCATACATAAGTCTTGCCCCGAGTCAGATCCTTTATACATACCTACCACTAACGTCAGGGAAAAGGATCTTTTCCCAGCTCAACAATGTAATAGTGCTTGGTGAGATTCTAAGGTAGACTTGCATAAAACTTCCAGAAATCATGCATGATTTGTTTTTACTATGAATTATTTCAAGAGGTTCAGCAACTTCAATTCCTTTAAGCCACTAACAGATTTTTTTTTTCTTTCAAGGTAGTTTATTTGTTCTGGTTGACTTTCTTCTGGAGAGAGAGAGAGAGAGAGAGAGAGAGAGAGAGAGAGAGAGAGTGTGTGTGTGTGTGTGTGTGTGTGTGTGACTTTCTTCTGGTGTGTGTGTGTGTGTGTGTGTGTGTACACACCAATATTAGAACTCAGGGCCTCAAGCTCTTACTTGTTTTTTTTGCTTAAGGCTAGAACTCTACCATTTGAGCCATGCCTCCACTTCCAGTTTTTTGCTGGCTAACTGGAGATAAAAGTCTCATGGATGTGTCTGGCTGTGAACAGTGATTTTTAGCTTTCAGCTTCCTAAGTAGCTAAGATTACAGGCATGAGCTACCAGTAGCTGACAGTGAGCATTTTTCTTGTGGATGCTGGTATTAGCAAATTGCTCAAGTAACTAAAGCTACACATTTAATTAAAGAGTGAGGAAAACAAACATCTTACTGGTCTCTACATATTCCTCAAATCTGAATTTGTTCTGGGGCCTTGTGCTCTCACTTGGATTTTTTTTCTCACAGCTGATAGATACTCAACCACTTGAGTATACCTCTAGTTCTAGCTTTTTGCTGGTTAACTTGAGATAAGAATCTCTCCAATTTGTCTGCCAGATTTACTCTGAACAAAGATCTTCAGATCTCAGCCTCCTGAGTAGCTAGGATTATAGGCATGAGGCCCAAACTCCTGGCTTTAAGTCTATAAATTGCCAATAAAGCTCCAAGTGACTCTGAGATGGACCATACTTTCATTAAGCATCTATAGCACTTGTAAGATTGCTTTATTTGCATTTTCCCTAATCTCAAGATTAAAGCTTTTCTACATCGTATCACAGACATTTCAACCATTGGCCTGAGTTAATTTTTTTTTTGCAGGGGGGGAGAGGGGGAAACGGAGGGGGGGGAGCACGAGGAGGGAAGATGTACAAGAGTACAGTTTTCCTATCCATTGTAAGATAATAGATAAGCATTCTTGCTTTTAACCCACTAGATACCAGTGACCCTCCCTAAATCAGGACAACCAAAAAAATGCCTCCAGATACTACCAAATGTCTCTTGGGGAATCCAGTTACTCTGGATGAACAACACTGCTCTCAAGTATAAACTCTGCATGAACAGGATTGTTGTTTTTGGTGTTCCTCTTCGCTCCTCTTCTACCAGCAGTGTGGAGCTGATGAATAGAAAGCCTAAACACAAGTGACTGAAAAGGAGTTAAACCACTTTCATTAGAAAGACCTTAAAATAAGTATGGTATGTGTTCTACACCGTGAGAATTAAAACAAAGGAAAACCTGCATGTTCCTCATGTCACAGACATAAGTTGTTGATTATAACTTTTTGAAAGCATGGCAGAGGCACTCTCAAGTTAGTGTGAGCTATTCAATACACAGATTGATGGAGACCAGTTAATGTTCTTTAGGGGGAATGTATCATAACTCTAGTAATAAACATTGAGAACAGCAATCTTCAACTGTGCCTGGTGGCAAACACTTATAGTTTTAGTAGTCAGGAAGACTGAGGCAGCCTAGGCGACATAGTGAAAGCCTGTCTCAAAATCCAAAACAAGTGAAACTTTAAAAAATGCAATCCTTGCTGAAAACGGAGAAAAATAAAACTGAAAGCACTAGGCCATTCCAAAGCACCAAACTTACGGTGATGAAGTCCTATCAACCTCATCAAAAGTAGTAATTAACCTTGCCAGGCACTGGGCTGACCTCTTACTAACCACATCTTAAGAAATGGTTGGGTAGACAATTCATCCAAAAAATCATACACCACGATCAAACAGGATTCATTTCAGGGATGCAAAGCTGGTTCAATATACGCAAATCACTTAATATTATTCATCACATCAACAGGAGCAAGAATAAGAACCACATGGTTATCTCAATACATGCAGAAAAAGCAGTCGACAAGATCCAACACCCCTTCATGATGAAGGTTTTGGAAAAATTAGGAATCCATGGAACATTCCTCAAT